AGTGGTGGTGTAGGTTTTAGGGTTTTGTTTTGGGTTTGTTTTGGTGTCTGTCACCCTTTGTGCGAGAGTGGGGGTAGCGAAGAGGGAAATGGAGAGGGAGAAGGCGAGGAGTAAGGGGGAGGGGGTACGCATTGTGGGAAGAATTAAGAGAATCAGGAGGCCGTATGATTAACTATGGAGGGTGCATACTAGATGGGGATATCAAACGCTGCTTGGACAATGTCAGAGGTACTTATAGTTAAAACCTTCAAAACTTGCATGTTGACATTGTTAGTATGATATCGATATCTGTTCATGGTCAGCTCTCGAGCTGAAACCTCATATACTTTTCATCCAAAATGACTACATACAGCGACCTGCAACCGATGGCCAGGAGCAAGAAGATTCATATTCACCATCTTCTCCGCCACATGTCTCAGAATCAGGCGGGGTACCTACTCAATGCGGTTGGCTTAGCCCACGATATCAGGAAATATCAGCCTGCATGCCTGCTACCAACGATTTACACCTGGACATGAAGGTATATTTCGCAATTTAGACTCAGAAAATATGAGCTGCATACACTCACTAGAGAATGTACTGCTGAATATTTCAGTATCATGCCCCATAAAGTAAGGTGATCCGGAGATCAGCGATACTGTAAGCAGCATTTACTATTCTGATGAACAGGAAAGATTCCAGGATCCTTCCTTAAAGCCTCCCTATACAATGTACTGAGAGCATATCAAGACCCAATTTACGACTATCCAATTATTCAGCTGCAAGTGCAAGTGCGTAGGCAATTGAGGACCTTTCACACATTTTTGGTAGAAGCCGGGGCGTCCCAGGTAAGCGGGGTGTAATACAGTTCGGAGTGCAAGACCCTTGACATCTGGAATTGTTAGCTCAAACCCTGTTCAGGTCTCGGAATTAAGAGCTCTTGACAGCAAACAAACATGTCAACTATCGTATGAAACCTGCCTAATAACACTAAGTCTAGCGGTTAAGGGCATACTAGAGACACAAGTGAAAATACAGCGGAAGTCAACCCAGTGAAAGGGTCAGCAGCATAACTTAAATGAGCTGTCTGGTGAGGCAGGGATAACTTTCTTTCAGTGTATGCGAAAGGATGTTCAGCGCGTGGTAGTATTGCAAAATACCGGATCTTATAAAGGGATAAAATTGGACTATTAAGAAGACCATTTTTTGGCAGGTCAAAAACGCGCTGGATTTCACATTTGGACAAGGATGTACCTAGGTATGTAAAGTACGGTCAACGTCATTACGAGGGATCTGCGAATCAAGCTGCTGGGATTTGAGACATCTGCATGCAACTCCCCAGAACTCACAAAATGTGAACGTGACGACACGGAGGAAAAAGGAAAGAAACTGGTATCTCCAAATCGCATTGGCCAATTGGGAAATTATGCCGATAGCTAAATCACGCTAAAAGTCTTGTGCTACGTTAGCTTGCATTCACCATAAAGAGGGCTTGTCATGACAAGTTATTTTCTGATTAGTTGATTGAGAACATATCGATTGCAATATCTTGTATAACATCGTGCGAATACCTTATCAAAATGTTTGAAGCATTTTTGCTGACCCTGCATGAGCCAGGATAACAAAAGGGCAATTACGGATATTGGAACCTATACCGGTATAGCTGTATGGTTAAGGTTTTCTCGTTTATCTTAGCGTGTGGGAGCAAAAGAAATTTATATACGGACGTCTAATAATAATTAGAGGGGCCGAGCTTCGTTCTTAAGACTGAACCAAGCTAAATTCATTTGAACATGAATGGGATCTTTAAGGACGGAAGCGCTTCAAGCTGATCACGCTAATAATTTTACTATCCTATAAAGGAAGAGCAGCAGCTTAAATATCTAGCTGTTTTGAGAGGTAGCAATGGCGCTCGTCATGACGAGCCAAACATAATATCAGCGTGAATACCACATCCTACATCAACGCGAATACCATTCCAAAAGAATATGTTCTGATGTTCTCTACACCAATACTACACTATACCATTCAACCTTATACTTGGTTTCTATGTTCCCATATTCTTAAGTAGGAAAACACTCGTGCTTGACTGATCATGAGAAGGGCTATGTGGATTGTAGAAGAGAGTTAATTCAGCGCCATAATTTGGCACTGCAAAGCCAGCCACTATCGCCTATAAAAGAAAACGATGAAAGATAGCTCATATCCTAAACTGATGAAAACCCCAACCATACTATGAAAACCCGTTATAAAGTGAGTCGTAAATTTCTGATAATAGCAACATGTGACTGAATTACCGGAGGTCTTTGAGGCTTTGAGGTTGGTAGAGCTTGAAGGAACGGGCGAAATAAGCGAGACTCTGCTTTGCCTGGCTTCTTAACCCAGTCGTCAGATAACTGATTAATAAAATAGACTCGTGTAGGCTCAGCTAATAGAGCTGCTACGAGTGTTTCCCGTTCAGTGACTTTTTTTTGCGAAAGCGTGAAAAGAGTAATATATTGCTAAATCTTCATTGCTTAAGAGAGCGTGCCAGAAGATTTCCCAAAGACTGCATCCTTATTTTTCGTGTAAAAATGGATTCCGTAAAAACTGCTGTTCCTTTGTAAGAGAAATTAAGAGAAAGTAACAATAACGATAACATTTTACAGTGAACAAAGGCACTCGCATTTTCTTTTTACTAGTAGGATTACCTTCTTAATTCCGACGCTCCCACACGATAAACAAACAAAGCAAGCGTCCAAGCCACCTATTTTTCTGATACTGTAATGATATTAGAAGAGTGTGATACATAGGAGGTATCGGTACGGTTTAGGTTGAGCTTGAGTGAATTCTGGGGTCTGGAGCGATTACAGCAAAAGGTATAGTTGTAGAAGTAATGGATCGGGTGGGCGTAAATTATGGTTGGAGCAAACATTGGTGGTTATGGGAATTGTACGGATACCGAAGTAATTGGAAAATAACACCCACCTCTTGAAAATAACACCCGTCTCACAACACAGACCGTGCTGCATGTGCATGTATCTAAATGTGAATAGTGTGAATAGATCAACGCCACCTCAATTGATGTAGTGGCACTGGATTGAACGCGATGGATGAAGTAGGTGAGTAGGAATTTATTTCCAGAAGAATCACCAGGATCTTGATTGTGAAGGCAGTTGCGGAGGCATGGTCATGGCTACATGAGGAGAGAAAGGATGTTATAACTAAATCCTTTCGTCAAGTTGGGATATCTCTTAAACCAGACGGGTCACAAGATTATTTACTCCATATTCGTGATCTACCTAACCTTGTTGTTGGAGATTGGATACTTGAGCAACCTGATAATGCTTCTAGGTAGTACTTATGGACTTGACTGCAATTTAAGTTCAGATGGGCATACCGGAGTTGGTACGTTAGAATTTGAGCTTCATGATGATGATCTCATTGATGAAGATTTCTTTGATGAGTACGCACCTCAAGAAAATCAAGGGGATGGCGATTATGTTTTAGATGATGAGCTGGAAGTTCAAGGGTCTGTATGTACTAATCAAATGTCGTTAGATTTCCTTTGTAACTAGCTAGATTTCGTTGGTCACGGTCTGTGTTGTGAGACGGGTGTTATTTTCAAGAGGTGGGTGTTATTTTCCAATTACTTCGGTAGCCTATGCACAGGAGATAACTCGTCATGACGCCCCTTTCTGCATTCCAAGTCAGCAAGACACCCAAGCTGCTTCCTTTCCTCTATAGGATGGTGAGACTTTTAGCGTGATCAGCTCTGTTACTGTAACCCCTGATAAGCTAGCATATGCATGTTCAACCAAGCAATACGAATGCAGCCATTTGGTATAGCATACCTACCACAGAAGTAATACTTAGAAGCGTGGGTCAACGCTCCATCATCATATAGGTGTTTGGTGAAGTGTGATTAGTAATACTTGTATGATATATATGAACGAGGCGAGACTAGAATGAGGGAGGTCGGACGAAGACATTGTATGAGGAGTGAATACACCAGTCTTCCAATACTCACCGGTCGACTGCATAGCGGATGTAGCGTAACATCGCAGGTTACTAGACACTAGGAGAGTTTACATGTTGACACAACGGAGCAGCGCCTCCGTTCGAGCCAGGTAACTTGACTTGGAAATTTTGACTCTGCGGTACCTTTTACTCAATACAGTGCACAGAGCAGTAGCTTTTGAAGCCTCAAATTGGCACCCCTTCGGAGACTGTGCTGCGGAAATCTAAAAGGAATGATCGGTGGAACTTCATCAAGAACTTATGGACGTAAAGCTTAAGTATGCAGTTTTAAAATCATCCAGTTCTCCCATATTCACATGTTTTGCACTGTTGCCCTAGACTCGAAGAGGTAATTAGGGGTACCCCGATGTACATAAGAGTTTCCTAGCATATACGTATCTCTTTGGGAATTAAACTACTATCTACCATTGTGCAAGCTCGAGTTCAAGCTCTTCATCGTGGTTGAGCGCTTAACCAATTCCCCGGTCCCTTCGCAACGTACCGATTATAAAATATATTTTTCAAAGTTTATACTCGTAGTCGACCTAAGGTCATGAAGCCTCTCCTTTGAAGTCTCGACCTATGCTTTCGGAGCAAGAAGTGGATCTTACCTCCCTAGCCTCAAATGAAAACCACGAACATTTATATGGACTTCACCGATAACCTCCGTCGCCAGCTTCCCAACCCCTGAAATGAGATTAAGATTAGAAAAGAAATTTTCGACCCAGTCACCATCACTTCCTTGTGTAACTGCCCCATCTCTTTTGCCGGCTCCTTCTTTAGCCAACGTGTCTGCCTCCTCATTCCCATAAATCCCTAAATGAGCTTGAATCCAACAGAAAGATACCGCCTCTTGACCCCCAAAACTTCGCCTTCTTCCAATCTCTTCAACTACCCCTTCAACTCCTCTGTTCTCACCTTCCTGGATAGTGCAGAATTTAAGAATGTCTGACCGATTATGAGTAAAGTTGTTATAAGTACAACATAGGCCAACTACGCTTGCATAATGACATGATAAAGCATCCATCGTGGTGTAGTGCTAGCATTTGAGACTCTCATTTTGAAGACTCTCAGAACCCGGGTTCAATTCCTGGCGACAGAATACCTTTTTTCTTTTATTTTCTAGGATCCTATAGTCTTTATTAGTTATAGTTAGAGGGGAAAATTGAAGTTATTGGGAAAGCATGAACCTGTGGGGTGGATTGTGTCGGAAAAAATAAATACATGGTCATATTCTGTATAGCATATTTTGCTTTCAAGCACACCTACACTGAATCACTCGCATTGTCTTGATGTATGATCATTAATTTCACCGTTTTTCCGAAATACCCTTCTCAAAAAATGGCAACTGGAGCACAGCCCCAACTCGCAGGTCCAAAAGCTCTTCAGAGCGTCAGGCAGAGCTCAGGGTAACAGTGTACGACTTTTAAAATCATTCTCGGATCTCGTAAAGCAAAATGTCAATTTTAATCCAGAGTCATTCCACAATACTCCACTATTATTCCACAAGCGCCTGCTAAATTAGGCAATTCATAGGCCAGTAAGATGTCTATTGTATATTTAGGAGGGCAACTGCTGACCGGCAGCTCGTTGGCGCTGGACTAACAACTGGTCGACAAACCCAATTAGCCATATCCAACTGCACAGAGTGGTATACACCCTGGTGCGGCTGCTGGGCATGCGAACCTAGGTAAAGGAGCCTCCGGTACAAAACTCTTGATCCTATCCATACTTGCTAAATTGGCACACTCATGAACGTGCTTTCCCATCTGGAAAATATCATCAATGAATAGTATACACTCATGAACAAAGGGTTGCAGCATCTTGGTGATATTTTTCATTGCTGTTCATCAAGTGAGGGTCAGATCGTATCGTACTATACTTGTATGTAGAAGGTCTCATTTTTGTGTTGAAAACATCAAATTACTGACGTGCCTTAACTGAAAAAAACAAGATGGAAGCATAAAATTCGTGCACAAGCTGAATCCAGACTTTGTTGAGAGGTGTGTCATTTCGTCACTAGAGAGTGTCCATTTGCATTGTCGCTCTATACTCATAGACATAGGATCCGCATATGGCCATCTGCACAGCGATGGCGGCTAGGCTTTCGGTGATTTCGATAAAATCAAAGCAACCTGGCAGAAAATCATAACGTACTGCAATATCTCACTCACACCTGTACAGGCCAGGGTTGTAATCGCCAGATTGTGCTGTAAGTGCTGTATTATCATATCCACAATGCTCGCATAACTGTTGATAGTTTAGAATTTTCTCAACCGTCCTACGGCAGGACCTTTGCCCTGGTCAATCGTCCTTTCCAGATCTCCACTATGGCTATCGTTAACAGCTTTTGGCCAAAAAAATACTGATGAATGGAGGTATATGCCAGAACTGACCAAATTGTCAGTGTTGATCCGATCGATATCATGATCTCAGCTAGTTCTAAAGGCTGAAAAGAGAAGGCCCCCAAAAATTTCAGACTACCCAAAAATGGTGTTCAGAAGCGTGGGAGGAACCAGGGCCTCGGACATTCAAGGTACGCTTCATGCCGCTATCAACACCTGGTGTGAGCCTAGTAGTAGTGGTGGTCAATTCTTAAACTGGGTAATAGTAACCCAGGTTATGCAACGCCTTGGCATGACAAAACTAGCCCCAATAGAGCACAACCGCAAATTTTCAATTGACCCACCTAAAATGAAGTCGGGGTAGAATTCTCAGTAACGTATCTTTAGTCAACTCTCTATATCACAACTACATACCACCATAAGATGCCTCGATCTACTCAACGGAGTGTATTACTAGCCAGCATTATTAAGATGATGGAACAGCTTATACGATTAGTCAAGCATGATAGTGGAAAGAATCTCATTGAGCTACTTGAGGAGTTATGGATAGTTTATAAGAGCATATCAGCACGTCGCTATATCGCCAGTCGAGGAATTAGTGCTGGAAGGCACATACATCATGGAGTTGGTGGAATATCAATTTTGGAAAACCTGGTTAAGAATTATCCAGAGCCAGCATTCTTAAATCTATTTAGAATGCTTTTGGACTCTTGTCAAGACCGTAACTGTTCGGTGGGTATTTGGCTGTTCGGTGGGGCTTTCGCTGTTCAGCTGTATTTTTGGCTGTTCGGTAGGGCGATGGTTGTATCACCCAACTTTGTGCGGTGATGGGTTCTGGGTTACGTTAAAGCTGGGTGATGACACTGGCCAATCAGCATGAAGGCCAAGGTGCCAAGGCAGTGCCAAGATGTTGCATAACCTGGGTTACCATTACCCAGTTTAAGAATTGACCACCACTAGTGTGAGTTTGGAGGGGGTGAGGTGGGACGCGTGTGTGAGGTGGCGAGGGCATTGGTTACACAGTAGTACCAGGTTAATATATTGTAGGTTCGTGACCTCGCAACCCCAGAGGTTGTTACTACAGTACGAGGCTAGTGTTGTCTGCCAAGACTTTCGGTTGTAATTCCACTCACAATATATAAAGTACGCTAGTATACAAGTGACAACGCCAAGTAACTAGCAGGTTCGTGACGTCGCAAACTCCCAGAGACAACAGATTGGTTCACGAGGCTAACACAGTAGATAGCTAGTCGTAGATAGCCAACTTGAATCTGAACTGATATGCATATGCAGAGTTTTCCCAAAGAAGAAAGGTAAATGACTTTTGTTCCGTACAGAGTATTACCTAACTTTGCCAAGCCTGCTG